TCCTTTGTAATGGATCAGTTTAGATTTTCTACCTTTTTTTTTTTTGGTGTAAATATGTGTGTGTGTGTGTGTGTGTGTGTCTTACTCCCTTTTCTTTCATTTAGTTGCCTATATATTCTTTTTTCTGAGTCATTTAACAGTAAGCTGCAACTTGATGCCCCTTCACCCCTAGATAGCTAGTGTGTATTTCCTATATACAAAGATGTATTTTATATAACCATAGTATAGTGATCAAAATTAAGAAATTAACATCTATCTCTTAATATTATCTAACATACAGACCTTACTCAGATCTCATAAGTTGTCCCAAAAATGACTTTCATGGCAACAGAGAACCCAAAGTCATGCATTACATTGCATTATCTTGTCTCCTTTGTGTCCTTTAAGCTGAAGCAATTTCTGAGACTTTCTTTCTGTTTCCTTAATTGATATTTTTGAAAAAAAGAAATCAATTCTTTTTTGAATGTTTCTCAGTTTGGATTTGTCCAATGATTTCTTATAATTAGATTCAAATTACAAATAGTGCCTTGGGTATGGAACTATTATCTTTTTAGTTTGCAGTCCAGCAATACTGTTGTTGAATTTCCATGAGAGTCTTGTTTCTGGTTCAGTATATATCATTTGAATTTTATTAGTGAAGTATAAAAGTATGAATATTTTTCTTTTGTCCTTAAAACCTAAAGAGCTGAAACAACAAACATAATTATGTTTGCATCTCATTTGAGAGAAAAGACAACATATAGTTGTTTTTTTTTAATGCATTTCATTGAAATATAATTTATGTACAGGGAAATACACAAAACTGAAGTGACATGGGTCAATGCATTTTTTTTTTTTTTTTTTTTTTGGTGTTCGCTCCCCTCCCCTCACACCTCTGGCAGCCAACAAAGAAAGTTTCCCTCCATATATAAACTTTCCTTGACCCTCCCCAATGATGAACTAATACTGTATTTGTCCTTCTGTGTTGACTTATTTCACTCAGCATAATGTCTTCCAAGTTCATCCATATTATGTGGTGTTTTGCCAACTCTACATTATTTTTTAGCGCTGCATAGCATTCCAGTATGTGTATATACCATAGTTTGGTCATCTACTCTTCTGCTGGTGGGCATGTAGGTTGTTTCTGTCTTTTTGCTATTGTAAATAGTGCTGTGATGAACATGAGCATGCATTGTCTCTGTTCCTATCCTGGCTCTCACCTCTCTAGGATATATACCTAGTAATGGGATTGCTGGGTTCAATGGTATATTCAATTCCAACTTTCTAAGGAATCACCATATTGCTTTCTACAATGGTTGTGTCACTTCACAGTCACACAAGCAGTGTATGAGAGTCCCAATCACTCCATATCCCCATCAGCATTTGTTATTTTCTGTCTCATTGAACCTTGCCATCAGTGCTGGGGTGAGACGATATATCTCATTGTTGTTTTGATTTACATCTCTCTGATGGCCAATGATTGTGAGCATCTTTTCATGTATTCGCTGACCACCTGAGTATCCTCCTTGGTGAAGTGTCTATTCATGTCTTCTGCCCATTTTTCAATTGGATTGTTAATTCCTTTGGTGTTGAAGTATTGGGATTTTCCATCAATTTTAGAGATAAGTCCCTTGCCAGATATATAACTAACAGCGAATATGAATTTGTTGCTGTCATTTTTGTCATGTGTTTTTTCATTGTGTCAATTTCTTTGTTCCATATAATTTTCTATGCTGAGCTCATTTTGTTTTTGAATCATGCTATCACTTCCATCATTGCTATTGTTTTAGTTTTGCTGAATTTTTATGCTGGTCCTCTTATTTTGATGTGAAGGTTTATCATTTTTCTTTGAGGTTACCCTGTGGTTTTCTTCCCAAGTGTAGAACAGTCCATTCTATCTTGTGGTAAGATAACATATAGTTAAAAGTATGAGTCTCAATACTGATTGTCTGGGTTCAAATCTAGACTCTATACTTGCTCTATATAAGATTATAGGCAATTTAATCTTTCTGTGATGTAATTTCTTTATCTGTAAAATAAGATTCTGAAACTCGCACTTGAAAGTAGAGAAGTAAAAATAAATGGAAGAAATAATGAATTGAGTTGAAAAAGATTTCAAAGGGCAGCTCAAGAACACAAAGTAAAGTATTATAAAGGAATGTGCAAAGACCTGGAGTTAGAAAACCAAAAGGGAAGAACACGCTCAGCCTTTCTCAACTGTAAAGAACTGGAGGAAAATACCCAAGCCTCGAGGTGCAATATTGAAGGATTCAAGAGGCCAAAAAGTGAAAGACACAAGAAGCATCAAAAGAAGATGGAGGGAATACAGAATCACTGTACCAAAAAGAATTAGTTGACATTTAATCATATACACATGTATATATAGATATTGTTGTTCTTGTTGTTGTTATGTGTTGTGGAGTAGGATCTGACTCATAACGACCCCTCCTTGGGTTTCCGAGGTGGTATCACTATGGAAGTAGATTGCCCAACCTTCTTTCCGTTGAGTGGCTGGTAGGTTTGAATGGCCAGCCTTCTGGTTAGTAGTCAGATGCCTTAGGCACTAGGCTACCAGAGCTCCCATATATAGATATAGATATACATATCTATGGCATAGTGGATAAGGCCAGAGGCTGCTAACCAGAAGGTCAGTGGTTCAAACCCATCAGCTGCTCTGCTGGAAGGAAGATGGAGCAAACTACTTCCATAAAGTTTTATAGCCTCAGAAACTCAATGAGGGGTCACAATGAGTCAGAATTGACTCAATGGCAGTGATTTTTTTTGGTGGTTGTGATAGTTGGAGCTGTGTGTCAACTTGGCTGGACCACAATTCTGTGTTGTTTAAGCAGTTGTGATGTGGTTATTCCCATGATGGGATCAGATATATATGTTTTGAGCAGCCAATCCATTGAAAGGGAGTTTCCTTAGGGGTGTGGCCTGCTTCCAGTATATTTATGGACATCCTGGGAAAAGAGACACTCTTCTGTGGATCGGGATTCTGTTGTGCTGTCTACAACTGTCTGTGAGTGAACAACTCACCATTCCGCCTGGAGATCTTGGACTCGTCATTCTTTGGAGTCAACAGCCAGTATACTGCCTGCCAACCTTGAGCTCCTCAGCCCCTGAAGGTGTGAGAGTTGGGAAAAGCCTCCAGCTTGACGTTTGATCCAAGAACTTTGGACTTGCCAGCTTCTATAAGTGTATGAGCCATTTTCCTAAGATAAATTTCTGTTTCTTTCTCTATATAAGCTTTACTGGTTTTGTTTCTCCAGAGAACCCAGTCTAACACAGTGGTGTAGTGCCTATGGCATTTGGCTACTAATTAGAAGGTTGGTGGTTCAGACCCCCCAGCCACTCCTCAGAGGGAAGATTGGGCAACCTAATTCTGGGGAGACACCGCCTTGGAAATCCAAGGAGGGTTTGCTATGAGTTGAATGGGTCATCAGCAGTGAGATTAGATAGATGATAGATAGATAGATGCACAGATAGAAAGACAGATAACAGATATAAATATATAGATACAGATATCATCTGAAGGAGACGGCTTGCATGGTTGTAGAAGCTGGCAAGTCCCAAGTCTGTGGGTCAGATGTCAGGTTAGTGACTTCTCTTGACTCATATAGCTGTAGAGGCTGACATAGCTGACAAGATTGGCAGGTAAAATGGCAGGCTGCTGGTTCAAATTCAAAGAACCAGAGGTCAGATGATGATAAGTTAGGTGCATGATCCAGATAGAGCAAAAAGCCAGACAGCTTTGGCAGAACATTCATATTTATTGGAAGCATGACATACCCCTGAGTAAACTCACTTTCAAATGATTAGCTGCTTATAGAAGATCTCATCATGGAAGTGATTACATTGTATCAGATCTCATCATGAGGAATGACTATATCCTAAGTGCCAAACCACTGAGACTCATGGCCCAATCAACTTGACACACAACCTGAACCATCACAACAATTGAATACATTTTCAGTAATGACAGCAAAAAAAAACTACTAACTTAGAATATTACTATCAGTAAAAATATTTTTCTAAAAAATGAAGTCAAAATGAAAACACTTTCAGATAAAACACAAACAGAAAGAATCCATTATCAGTAGAAACACACTGAAGCAAGCAATGGAGGTATTCTTCAAAAGAACAAAAATGATGTTTGTTGGTGGATTGAAAATATAGACAAGAGAATATTGGGATCTGATTGTTCACATTTATCATTTTGTTGGAAAACTTTTAAAAAAAATGTAGAAGCAAATATTTCCCAGAATAAGCAATAACCAAACCAAACCAAACCCACTGCTATCAAGTAAATTCTTACTCATAGTGACTCTGATTGGGTCTCCAAGGTGGTAAATCCTTACGGAAGTAGGTTGTCCAGTCTTGCTTCTGCAGAGCAGCTGGTGGGTTGAACCACCAAACTTCTGGTTAGCCATCAAATGCCTTAGGCACTGTGCTACCAGAGCTCCTCAGAATAAGCAATAGGTAATAGAAAAGGTGAAAGTAAGTGAGGAAAACAAAATCTACCTGCATCCATACAACTCCGTAGGCAAACCAAGTTTATTCAGAGCTAGTATTTTGTCATTGATGAGAAATATGTGAACAGTCACATTAAGACATCAGGTAAGTGTGATGAGGTCATGTTTTAATGAAATTCCCAAACAGACAGGTACAAGAAGAAGTGAAGAAGTAGCATCCTGTCTGAGATGCCTTCTCTCACCTCTGTGGATAGCCAACTGCCCATATTAAAAAGTCTCACTCAAGTACTCTCTCCTACATCAAGCAAAATCTCTTGAGCTTCTCCAGCTTGGTAGACTTTCTCCTTTACCCTCAATATTAGTACCTTTTATTTTATAGGGCAAAGTTGACCTACTTTATGATTTACCTTTTGGGGGATCAACAAGAGTGGAACGCTTCTTAAGGTTAGAGTAAAAAATACATTCTTTTTGGAATATAAGGTAAGTGTTAGGGCTGTTTTTGAGTTCCATTGAGTCTGTTTTTGACTCATAGCAACCTGTGGGACAGATTAGAACCACCCCATAAGAATTTCTAAGATATAATCTTTATGGGAGCAGATGGCCAGCTCTTTCTCCTAAAGAGTTGCTGGATTCATTCAAATCACCAAACTTTTGGTTAGCAGCTGAATGCTTAACCATTGTGCCACTATGGCTACTTATAAGATAAATGCTTGATGAATGTTTATTAGTTGATAGTGCAGGAAGCTGTGTGGAAAAAAAATATCACAAGTCTCATTATTAAAAAGAAATCATTTTACTTGCTTTTATAATTTTAATTTTAATTTCAAAACCGATAATCATTTCATTTATTAGAAAACTTTCAAGTGTATTTGAAACAACTTGAGTATATGAATCTGTATTTCTGAACTGCAAACTTTAGGAAATTTAGACACGGGTCAAGTATTTCCAATGAAAATTTAGTATCTAAATAGAAATGTGCTCAAAGTGTAAAGCATGTACTAGATTTTAAAGACATGGTACAAAGAAAAAAAGATATTTTTCTGTTGATTATATGTTGAAATGATATTTTAGATATATCGGGTAAAATACATTATAAAAATAAATGAGCTACACAATCAGTATAGGCTTGCTTGGGCAAATTTTAAGAATTGATAACATGGATACAACAATGATTAAAATCTTCTCATGAAAATAGCCCTCCATTTCATTTCTCTTATTCTAGGAAAGTTCTAGAAAGGCATATTGGGAAATACAGTGGATTAAGACTCAGATGATAATGTTTTGGCAGTTCTTACTTTGTAGACCAAAAATTGAGATATCTTTGAATCATGAAATCTTCATTGATAAAAAAAAAAAAATAATAATATATACTATACCACTTCATTTAGTGGTTTTTGGGAGATAATAAACTCTCATAGTGTTATGTTTTTTTTTGTTGTTGTTGTAGTCAATTTTAGTTAGCATGTTATTATGCATTAGAGGCAGTGATATGCTAGAATTGGCATGTACTGTCTCACAAGGGTTGATTCTTAAATTTCAGAGATTTTGTGAGCCAGTTGTTAAGCATAACTATTACTAAAAATTGAAATAAATCTCTCAGACGAGGAGGCTCAGAGGAGACTTTGTGCAACCTTCTCCTGTCATCTTGCATCCAGTTTGATCTGACACCATCTGCCTTTGCCAGGCCACCCAAGTTCAATCCCAATGAGATCAGCCTTGTACATGAGGTGACCAGTAGGGAAGTTGGATTCATGCCCACCCTAGCCCACAAGATCAACTTCCAGGATCTGCCTCCAAAAAAGGTTGGTGCTAACACTGCCAAGGTAAATAGTGACGAGAAACATTTAAAGATCAAGGTGAAATTGAACATTCAGAACACACAAGCCCAGATGGAGGTGGTACCTTCTACCTCTACCCTGATCATCAGCGTTCTCAAGCAACAACACAGAGATAGAAAGCAGAAAAATATTAAATACAGTGGAAACATCATTTTTGATGTCATTGTCAATATTATCTGAGAGACACAGCATAGATATTTATCCAGAAAACGCTCTAGAATTATTAAAGAGATTATTGGAACTGCCCAATCTGTGGGCTGCAGTGTTGACGGCCACCACCCTCATGACATCACAGGTGACATCAACCATGATATGGTGGAATACTCAGGTAACTAAGAACTGCAAAGGGAAATATTTCAATAAAGGATCATTTGATTAAAAAATTAAATTATATAATTTTATAATTAAATAATTTATACTAAAATAAGAGTTATAAACAATAAAATATCACCACCTCCTGTGGTAGTTGATGTTGTGTGTCAGCTTGATTTGGTCACATTTTTGAGTGGCTTGGCAGCTGGATGTAGTTATTCCCCATGATGAGATTGTTATCACTTCCATGGTAGAATCTGTTGTGAGCAGCTAAGTAGTTGAAGTGGAGTTACCTTCAGGATGTAGCTTGTTTCCAGTACATATGGAGAATCTTTGGGAAAGGTATCTAGTTTTTTGGCACATTTTGTATCCTGCATTTGGCTGAGTCTTTATCTCCAATTCCTGGACTTGACCTAGTGACCTGCCGTATCATATGCCAGTCTTGAGATTGTGCCATTTTACCTGCCATTCTTGGGTTTGTCAGCATCAGCAGCCAGTAACTTCATGGATCAGAAGAAACCCCCAGCTCCAGTGGGTCTGGAACAAGAGGCTGAGCTTAAGCCCAAGGTTGAGGGGCATTCACCCAGCCCCTCGAACTGGCACTCTGAATTCAGACTTCTAGCCTCCTAAACAGTAGAAGAGTAAATTCCTGTTTGTTAAGCCATCTGTGTAATATTTCTGTTACAGCAGCACTAGAGGACCAAGACAGGCTTGTCATAATTTCCTACTGAGACAAAATTTCTCTCACATAAAAATTATCTCACTTGTGCTAGATCAGTAGTCCATGTGTCCATTAGCTTCTGCACAAGAGTTCCAGAAATGTTGATTTGGTTCAGTGGTATAAGCAATGCCATTTAGAAACCCATACCCAAATATTTGACATAGTCCTTTCCATGGATCTTTTTTGGTAAAAACTGGCCTTTGGTTTATTGCAAGCCCCTTCAGGATGTCATCAAATTTATTTATCATCTGTAGATGATAAATCTTAATAATAGCTCTGGCTAACTTATTACTGATGAAAATTCATTACAAAAGTAAAGCAAAACAAATTAAAATCACTCCAAAAAACCTTTAGACAGAATATTTCTAAACATAAAGATAATCTTATTTCAAAGAAGACTGGATATTACATCTTATTGATGAAAATGGATGACTATAATCCTTAGCAAGAAAAGAACTTTAGATATAAGAATCCTGAGATATAATAGGAAAATAAAGCATATAGTTAGGATATGTCAAGAACATACCAAGATTATTAAGCTTCTAAATATCTGAATATTAATAAAACTCTATAGATAAATGGAAGAAGCCCTGGTGGCACAGTGGCTAAGCATTTGTCTGCTAATCAAAGGTCAGCAGTTTGAACTCACCAGCCACTCATGTAGAGATTTATAACCTTAGAAACCCTATGGGGCAGGTGTTTACTCTGTCCTTCAGGGTCACTATGAGTTGGAATAGACTTGACAGCAATGGCTTTAGTTTTTTGTGTTTTATATGTAAGTGGAGTAAATTCTCAGGTGAAACCCACGATGCTAGCTTTAAAGAAAGCTGTAGCCGATTTAGGAATTAAAAAAGAAAAAATTCTTGTTTAATATCAAGGAAAACATTCTGACACTCATACAAATTTTTAACCCAAAGAAAATTAAACAGTTCTCTTGATTTGACATGTAATTCATAACATATTAAATACATCTTATTATTTCTAGTATTTTTCTTCTTATAAAATGGAACAAGTCTTTTATGGCTTTTCTCAAAATTTCAAGGTTGTCAAGGTGTGGTGTAGTAAATTACTTAGTGTGACTTTTTTACCCATAAGTCTTTGTAAACTCCAAGGTGGGATTTGCTATGAGCAACTGAGGAGCTCCTGGTTGCTAAAGTTGTCCACCTGGAGTATTTCTGTTGGGAGTGGCACAAAACAATGTTCTGGGAGGTGCCCACCCTCTCAGGTGCTTAGAGTTCTGATGATATGATTGGCTAGTTTGACCACTCTGCTGGGCTCAAAAGGAGGCCTCCTAGAGGCAGAACTCTCTCTCTGACTGTTGGTTAAGGAAGATGTGCTGCTGAAAGAGACACCCGCCCCTGAACGAGACACATGCTGCTGGGAAAGAGACGCAAGAGATATCATTGCTGAGTAAGACACTGAGGGACATGCATTGCTGGGGGAGAAACTGTGAGAGACTTGGCTGAGAGATGGTGGGCTGGGGAGAGAGACTGAGCATTTTTCCTGAACTCAAATTGTAGCCTGGTGCTTCCCTAATAAACTTCATAATCTGTGAGTTCTGTGTGGCTACTGCAGCGGATTATCAAACCCAGGAGAGAGGTGGTGGGTGCTTTGGGAGGAACAGTTGGTGAAAGGGCTGGAGGGAGGCAGCATGTCTGGCCTTGCAGTAATAGGCCTTGGG